CTTCACCTTATTTTTTTGGAAGAAATGATGCACTGTAACTTGAACATTTGGGATATGCAGAAAGTTATAAAACGTCTGTTTGAGTAATTACTGTAACAAATTTTCCAATAATTATTGTCGGAAGTTAAAATTTTGAGATCTGTAATAGAGATCCCCTGAAATGTTCGGCCATTATAATCAGACAGATGTGTCAATTTTCTCATTAATTTGGCGGCATGAATGGACTATTTTCGCAACTGAAAGACTATTCAAGAAGATAAAAACATCATAAAAGCTGCTATTTTTACCGTTTTCTGGATCTGTTGGAGGCAAAAATTTAATGTAAAATTACATAACTCTGAATGAGTAAGCGAACGGATCTACAGAAAATCTGAAGCTCTCAAAGAAATAGTAAATCCAATTTTTTTCGCTATATTTTTTTATTTGCACAAATGGTGGCATCTCTTATCTTGAACTGTTGAAGTATTTTGAAAACGCCCCCAGAAAACGGTATTCAATTACAATCTATCGTTAAGTGGAATGTTGACCAACGATTTCCATACAAATTGTTAGGCCATTATTTTCACACTGATTTCCGTTTGCCCGATCATGCATGACAAGGAACACAAAGCGGGTGTGACCGGTCGACAGGGGATGCTTACTCCTCCATGGCACCTTATCCCATCTCTGAAGTTTTAGGAGTCCGAGTTTGCTCTGCTCCAAATTTGTATTGTTCCAATGGACTTTTGAACTTATCTTCATATTTCATTTAAATTCTTGGTCAAGGTAAAGCAGGGATCATTTTGACATATAGGTCAACCTTTTATTTAAAAAAACCTAATAATTGGAAGTCAAAGGTCAAGGTCGTATGTAGGGCATGACACTCACTGTATGTTTTTGATACACCGCAGCCGAAGGATATAGTTGCTGTCGAGGGGGACAATCAACTTGCTATTGTTCAAATAATCAGTAAATAGTCGCTTCATTATACTGAAGCAGACTTTACTTGTGTCACACCACGATCCGGATAAAACCAGAAAAGTTCCGAGATAAAAAGCGAGGGAAATCGAGTGCTGCCGGTAAATAGTTCGATTACCATTTCATAATGGGGAAATAGAACAAAAACTATTTCACGGTAGAGGCTGTTTAGAAAAAATAACTGTTTTTTTAGTCAAGATTCTATATAGAAAAAATTCACAAAGGTATAATAAAATGTGCTAAGGAAAAAACGTAATTTTTTTTTAAAATCTAACGTCAAATGTCAAGGTCACACTGAACAGGCTATAATAAGACGTCGTTTTATGATAAAAGACCTACGTGCCACTAGACACTGTTGTAATAAGTACATGAGGTAAAAAGAAGCATGATTCCCTTCATCGACGGAGAGACAATATGCACCCACCGTAACGACTTTTGAATAAGAGAAGACATAAAGATCTTAAGTAAAAAAACACTAAAAACAGGACCGCGTGACTGTCAACTAACAGAGGAAAACTATACGTTTTAAATTTTGAAAATGAGAAAAAAAATTGTTCATAAACTGACGCACTCTAATATATATGATGCACTGTGGCAAGCAGTTTGCATCTAACACAGACGTCTCATGCCCCCCGAAAGTCACATGTAAACAAAGACATACAAACACAATGAACCACTTACGATTTTCTTGGCAGGGGATGTTTTTCTGTGAATTTAAAAGAATATGTGATGATAGCATGTTCTGGCAGAGTAATGGTTTGTTCTGGCATGGTGATGGAACGACCCAACAGGACCCACGAAACAAAAAAATCACAATTCCTTTGTGTGGCACACGCGTGTTGAAGCTGAATATACAATTTAAATTGTCTACAGTCAATCCCAAATATTGATGAGTAATGCCTTCAATGAAACTGAAATATACACACTTCGTTTTCGCAAATAAACGACTTTACTGTAACATTTTTTCGCGACTGCGACTTTCTTTGTGAAGAAAATGGACACAGAAAGCTTGGAATAAAAAACACGCACAGATGCTGTCGATCAGAGAAAGTTTAGAGCATGTTAGTGATAGTGTTATTCGGGGCAGGCTTCATAATCACCGACAGGGGAATCAAACGCCCCTCCAGTGAGCGGCATTGAAGCGGCTTTATTATCGATAGCTCTCGTCACGTGCAGGATTGCTTTAATTGAGAAGACAGGCTTCAGTATCCGATTTTAACTCTTTATTATCACATAATTTATTGATGAAGCTGTTTTTTGTAAGGCATCATTTAAGGTTCTAGTCGAAGTGAACATTTGTTTACAATACTTTGCATATCTGACCCGCATCGGTTTTACTACATCATTTAAATCTACTCACATCATTGTGTTTTACTTTTTTCATGGGAAATGTAAAAAAAAAACTCAAGAAAAAGGTTTTCGAAAAAGTAAAAAAAAAAAAAAGAGTTTATAAATACATGTATATGAAATGATGCCTTCTTTTTTTAAAAAATAATTTTCAGCGTCTTCTTCAATACTGTCCTGGTGCGGTGATTTATCAAATTGTTTTGTAATTATAGATTTTCTTGCATTTAATTAAATATGCTATAAAATTATATCAAAATGAATCATAATACACAAATACATGAACAACACATGAAACATCAAACATACGGTATTGCACATATGTTGTATTCATCAGATTATCATGTAATCCAATTAACCTTAGAAACTATCGTATCATCAGATTATCACCTTAATCTAATTAACCTTAGAAACTATCCTGTTACCTTCATATAACGATTAATTACAGCAGGCCACCTATCTGATTAATGACCTGTTGTTTAATCTTATTGAGCACATCAGCCTGGAAGTCTTTGATTTGAGCACAAAAATAGGATACAACAAACAACGACAGATCAACAAAATTCTGATACATGAATGTATGCATCGTCTCAAGCCACGGTCCAGAGTCCGCATATAGCTCTCTCCTACCCACGGCCAGGGAGAGGATCGTGCATTTTGGCCGTGGTTTGCGATGATGGAATGTATGTAGCATAAAGAAAATAATGCATCGAGCTGTAAACACATAATCCATTAAACAAGTTCTGCAATATGGTCCACTTGCATGATTTAAAAATATTCCAATTATCTATTGAAGTTATGATAAACAGAACTACTGAAGTTATGATATACAGAAGATTTACATGTATATCCCGGATAGGCCGTTATTTGTTAATTATAATACAATACTGGTTAATCTAAGTTTATTACCATCAGAAATGTAATGAATTTTATAATTTGCAAAAAAGTCCGGCACCAGGATCATGAAACATCTTAAGCTTAAGTCAAAATCTTTATTCTATACTAAAATGTTGTAGAAATCAAGCAGACCAAAATTAAAATATTTTTTAATATTACTTCACAAAAGTGTTGTTTTCTGCAAAGAAGATGGGTGAACAAGGCGTGCAGAATGCCTATAGCTTCAGATATTAATAAAATCATATTAAATTTGTGAATTAAGTATTTAAAATGAAGTTCTCATTATTGAAATTTATGAAATTATGATCAACAAAACTTTTCTGAGAAAAAAGATCTCGGGAAAAATTATTCTTTTATTTAAAAAAATAAAACGGTATTCGTGGGATTCGAACCCCCTAACAATAAAAATCCGGAGTATCATATTGTTTTGAGACTAACACTCTAACCACTACGCCACGCATCTCCTGACATATAGTGGCATTTAAATCATGTTTGTGATATGACCCTTGACTTAATGGACTTCAAGTATTTCTCGGAAAGATGTGAATGCTTTGTCATAAAAGTGTACTTTTAAGGTATAGTGGGTCTTTGCTCCATGTTTTTGTAAACCAAAAAATGTATATTTTTATGCAAACTTTTAGGATCAACTTTCAAAAAAATGGAGCGAAGACCCACTCATATCGAAAAATTTTGTTAAAGTGTGAGAAAATGATCCTTTTTGTCCTCTTTAGTGTGTGTATGCTATTTCGTAGGCAAATAATTTCAGTCATTGTGAGATTTTTGTAAATTGTAGAGATTTAGCATAAAATATACTTTAATGTTAGATGAAATATCAAAGAAAATTTTTATATAATTGAGATTTTATTTTTCACTTCATGTTTGTCGCACTATAGGCACTTCGCCCGCCTTGTTCACCCATCTTCTTTAGATATTAATTTAATAATAAATAAACATTTTACAACCAATTGAAAATTTGACTTAAGTCTAAGACTGTTTCATGATCCTGGGGCCTTATCGTATGAATGTCCAATGAGTGTATAAAAAAATTTTCATTTTTGTTGTTTTAGTTGCAGGAGCACACAGCGGGTGTGACCAGTCGGCGGGGGATGCTTACTCTTCCATGGCACCTGATCCCACCTCTGATGTTTTAGAGGTCCGTGTTTTCTCTGCTCCAAAATTTGTATTGTTTATTGGACTTTTGAGCTTGAATACTGTTCATTATCTCCATACATTTCATTGCACATCTGGAAAAAATATCACCTGAAGCATCCATCTCTACATTCATTATCAATGACAGCTTGGACAAAAACTATTAAGGTAGAGCTTGTAGTAACCAGTAAATTGACCTACTCCTGAAGTTTTCACCTGGTCGCTGATCCAGGAAATGACTTGCAGCAACTGAAATATGACTGGAAGTAACAAACCCTAGACACATCATCTAGATGCAAATTTGGTCAATATTTTGGTACATATTTATTCGAGAAATCTTTTAACTAGAACATCAATGCCAAAAATACAGCATAAAAATAAAAATTGTGGTGTTCAGCGCAAATCAATTATTTTCTGTGTACTACTTGGGTGCTATACTTTTTTATGCTCTACTCTCAAACAGATGGGGTGTTATGTATTTTCACAAGAAACTGTTTACTTAATATGACCCATAAAATACACATTATGTTAACATTTCCCTTGAATATAAAAATAAGTTATCAAAATTGACTACAAGCAATTAAACCAATATATAATAATAGCTTTCTCTGAAACACCTGTATTGTACAGAGTATAAAACAGTGACACAGACAAAATGTTGATATAGATTCTTTAATAAACACACACCCTGTACACTAAAGATACATATGGTGGTCTATATTATGCTAAGAGAAAAACTCAACAAAGTTAGATAACTATGTAACGGATAAAGGACAAAGATAAAACAAAGTTAGATAACTGTGTTAAGTATTAGATACAGAGATTTATCATTAGGTATGCAGACAAGAACATTCCATAATTCTGAACAAAGATCTAATATATCCACTAATCTGCCTTTGTATCAAATAAGCCCTCATTTCCAAAATGGGATTAATAAAAATCTATAACAAGATTCAAAAGAAAATTAACATTGACAAGGCTTAACATTTGCACCATGCAATTTTTTTACTTTTTCCAAATATACTGCGAAGTTACCCACTAAATGCATGAATTGAAATCTACTTAAGCTGGAATTTGTTTAGTATTTCCCTGAATTTTTATCTGTGGCCAATTTTCTTGAATGAAGATTAAAACCAAACATATTGATTGTGCAACTCCAGATCAAGATATGGCACTGTATATTACTTGACAAAATTAATCCCTTTTCCAAATTTCTAAGTATATATATATTTTTTTTAAAAATAGGATAAATAGCTGCATAATTAATACTAAAAAAGAGAAAAAATATTACATGGTGGTTTTCAGAATCTACAGAAAAAGAAAGAGAAAACAAAACTAACTGCTAAAAACATACAGCAATTATAAATAAATAGAAAATTACAGCACTATATTGATTAATATAATAAGCCTACAGCTGAACAGAGACACTACACTACAGTCCATATATCAAACACAATGAAGAAAGAAAAAATTAAAAAATAAAATTCACCTGTGATTATACATATCTAGCTAAAGCATTGCTAAATATATACTTACAATGATATGTCAATACAGAATACACGTAGTTCTATGTGAATTATAGTCCATCTATCTCTTGAATATATGTATATTGAACTGTCAGTGAAGTATCTTTCTAACATTACATACATCCACTACAATTTTTTTTTTTATTAATAACTCCCCAAAAATATTTTGGAGGTTAAAATACGGTGATAAACTTTTCCGATATACATTGTACCATGACAATATTGCGTATATTTCTTAACATTTTACATGTCATTAAAATATAAGAAGTATACATATTTTACAAAAAAGGAGATAATTACATTACACAAAATATGGCTATATTGTACATACAGTTGATTTTATTGTGCAGTAGCTGCATCATGAACTAATCATTAAAAAAGCAATGAATCAAACAGTAGGCACAAAATGATATTAGTGGTTCTCATAATGTAGTTCACATTCACAAAAACAAACATTAATATATTCATGTTCAATAGATTTAACATTATTTTATTCATACATTCAAGACTAGTACAAAAAGATCCTTTCAATTTTCTCCATTAAATTTGATAAATAAACTATTTTGCAAAAAATAAATGTTTGAATTTTTTCACAACAGGAAAGAGGAAATTAACTGATTTTTTTCCCCCACAAATGCTAACATAGGCCCTTGCTTTAGCACCACTCTAAATACAGCTGTTTTCTTTTTGTTATTTGATCACCACAAGATATGTGTAATAACCAGATATGAGAAAGTTAAATTTGAATTTCCCTTGAATTTAACATAATTTTATTTTCAGAATTGTCTAATTGGTAAATAACATGAAATAATTTGAAAAAAAAAAAAAAACAACTAAAAATTTCCAAACATTTTGCGCATTAAAATAATTGAGAATAGTTAAGATTAGATTGTTACAATAACATTTTCCATTTAACATTTATCAATGTTAAAGCAAAAAGTTTTTCAACCAAGAGCTGCATTAGAATGTTAAGGGATTAGTATATATATGTAAAGGTAAATAACATCCCAGATCAGCTTGTCATTGAGGTAGGTTACTTTAGGTTCAGTGTTTGTCTGTCTGCAAGAGTTACTTTTCTTTGAGTGATTATATTATTTATTCTGATTTTTTTTTTCTAAAATGTATCAAATCAATTCTTAACTTCAAAACAAAACAAAACAAAAAAAAAACTACAAACAAGTAATCCATAAAAAGAAAATTGTTAAATTGTTAAACAATTTTTAGCCAAAAAAAAAAATCAACAAGCACAAAAATAGTCAACAAACAGTAAACAATCAGAATTTCTTGCATAAAAATGAACTTTTTCAGAAGAAAAAAAATAACAAATACATGTACAGTTTTTTAGATCTACTTAATCATAACTGAGTGTCTTTGCTTTGGACATTTGGTCAAACAATGCACAACAGAGAGGGAACTACATCTGACATAGTATGCTGTATCATCACATGACAAGGTTACGACAGGAACATGGCATGTACAGATATCAGCAGGAGGTCATTCTTTGATGAGAGTACCAAATGGATAATCCCACATTTTGGAAGATATACCAAACCCTAAAACATAAATTAAAATGAAAATCATTTCAATTGTTCGCTTAGTAAATGGTACATATGTCAACAATACACACTCATTTAGTTAAAACGTTCTTTGATTTAGATTCATTAACATTTTTATACATACATTGAAAAGTATACACACAGGATTCAGATACAAGTTGCTGCAACTTAATTATATTAATTTGTTCCCTTGAATTAATTTTGTATTATAAATGTACATTTGCCCTTGTTGCATGACAAATATGATTAATGAAAAGAGTTTAAAAAAAAAATGATCGAAAAATTTGAACAAGTAAAGGAACCAATATTTGAAGAGATGTTATAAGTTCATATACTACACATTCACAATATAAATACACAGATACACATAAATATAATGGTCAAATAGTAAGGAATATACAATCTATCACTTCCAAACTGAGAAATATGGTTGCTTTACAAACAAATTTGAAATTTGATAAGTTAAAAGTTTACAAATTTTTTGGATGCGGTGAGAAAATGATGTACATGTTTAACAAGATGTTTGATCAGTATCATAGAGAAATACACAATACAGAGACAAAAATATAACTACATTGAACTAGAAATATGTCCATGGGACATGAATGCCCCGCCAAAGGAAAATTAGTAATGCAAATTGAAAATTTCTATTAATGTATGAAGTTTGATGAGAATATCTTGAATGTCTCTTTAAAATTGAATTAAAATATCTTAAATGGTTTCTTTAAAACTAAGCAAAGTGCAAAGTTAAGAAAAGTGAAGTCAAGGTTACAGGAAAGTTCAAGGTCAAAAGTTTTTGATGCAGTTGAATAGCTCTCACTAATATGTATCAGCATATTAAGTTTGATAAAATATCTAGAATGGTTTATTTAAAACTGAGCTAAACACTTATTTAAGAAAAGTGAGGTCAAGGTCAAAGGACACATCAAGGTAAAAAAAAAATGTTGATGCAGTTGAAAAGCTTACATAAGTATATATTAGCATAGGAAGTTTGATAAAAATATCATGAATGGTTTCTTTAAAACTGAGCTAAACACAAATTTTTAAAAAAGTGAGGTCAAGGTCAAAGTAAAGGTCAAGGTCACAAAAAGTTGATGCATTTGAATAGCTTCCTTCAGTATGTATCAGCATATGAGGTTTGATTACACTACCTTGAATGGTTTCTTTAAAATTGAGCTAAACACTAATTTAAGAAAAGTGAAGTCAATGTTAAAGAAAAGGTCATGGTCAAAAAATGTTGATGCAGTTGAATAGCTCTCATCAATATGCATCAGCATATGAAGTTTGATAAAAATATCTTGAGTAGTTTCTTTGAAACGGAGCTTTGAACTGAACTATATACAAAGCGTGAAGGAAGGATGGAAGGACAGAAGACGGACATGATGAACTCTATATACCCGAGCCATATTCATGGCGGGGCATAAAAATATTAGTATTAAAGGAAGAATTCCTAGTTATATCTTAATGTAAGAGGATATTTATAGTTACTGGTCTTATTGGGTCAATAATTTTTTTCTTGTATCTATTTTACAGAGGACATTCAAGTAGAAAGTGTGTTTTTCAATTTTTCCACAGGCACAATATAGATTATCTATTATGTGTTTTGCAAACAGATGAGATTTAAGAGTACTACGGTTAACTCTAAGTTGTGTGTGCAATATCTTTTCTTTGTGTTTACCAAACAGAAAATGTTTTGGGGTTTTATGAGTGTGTGTGTTAAGCATTTTGATACTGAAGGATTCACATTTGTTGGAAGATTATTCCAAAGCTTTGTAGTGGACGAAAGAAACATTAGTGCATAGTGGTTTAATTGTGTTAAACTTTGGTTGAATAATGCAGTATGTGCCATCTTCTTGTGGGATATTGGTGTGTTTTGTTAATTCTAAAGGGGATTAAAGAAGATAAATAGTCTGGGGTACTCCCATGTACCATAGTGTTTGAAATTTGTAGTGTATGAAATTTGATCATTTCATGTTTTTGTCTTCTATTGTGCAAAGTATTCCACCCAACCTCCCAATAAAGATCATTTAAACTTACAAATTTAGTCACACCTGTGAATATACAAGCTGCCTCTATATTAATTTTTTCGAGTTTATTAGATAAATCCTGTGGTATACATGTATTGTCCCAGATGTCAGCATATTCAATAACTGGCCTTACAATTGAAAAAGTAAAATTTATCTAATGATTTTCTATCCAATAAAAATATCAGTCTTCTTAGAGAGTGTAGCCTAGATGATGCTTTCACTAGGACTATATAAACATTAAATGACCATTGGCCATTATTAGCAAAATGCAATCCTAGGTACTTATGGTGTGATACTTCAGTTATCTTCTGTCCATTCAAGTAAAGGTCAGGATGGGGAATTTGATTCCGTTTGTTGCTGATTAATAAACTTTCAGTTTTCTGAGGATTAAAAGTGACTAACCATTGTTTAGACCATTTATGTATTTTGTCAAGGCCACTATTAATGTCATGCTTGCATAATCGGGTTTTCATAAATAATGTATAAGGTAGTACATGTATCATCCGCAAATAATTTAATTATGGACCTTAAGTCCGAAACAATATTGTTTACGTAAACAAGGAATAACAGTGGACCCAGTATTGAGCCCTGGGGAATGCCAGATCCAATATTACACCAGTACAATGCTGATGAATTTATTACAACTCTGTTTGCCATTTTTCTTTTTCTTTAAAAAAAAAAAAACCCAGAAAATATTGTATTGCATATTTAACATATATCTTTTCATAAAGTTTCTGACAGGAATCTGGGTCTGCTCAAGTTGTGGCAGAAATTAACATTCATAGTTGGTTCATTGCACATGTTAATTTTAAAAAGAGATTATGTATTGTTTAGAAATTACAATAATTAAATACAAGATGCATTGCTTTGAGATTCCATTTAAGGGTACTATTCACTAATCTCAAAAAATTCTAAGAAATCTCATATCTTCTTCCTCAACTGAGTGACAGAAAAGTTTGGTGGAACACTAATTTGAGAAAAATCTTTAATTTGAAATAAAAAACTAAAATTCCAAGCCTGCGATTGAAAAAAATCTTTAAATTAATGGCACAATTACAAGAGAAAAATTATTTGAGAAATCTCGGATAAAAAAATGAACCCTGGCTAAGAATGCTTGGTGAGAAACAATCACTTCTCTGCTACCCTGCATCATAAAGGGACATGACCTACCTTTCTGTTGGTCCTGATAATGATGTTTTACATGGTATCTTTTTAGAGACTTGAAGTAACTTCCATATGGTACTCCATGATGTAAATAGTAATGTATCATGTCATACACAATGTAGCCACTAATGCTTCCCGCAAACACGGTCAAGGCCATGGTGGGGGGCATAAACAGGCAATACACAGAGTAGACAAGAACCCCCAGGGCAGCGGCTGGTACAGGAGGGAACACTAGTCTGACTTTATCCATGGGGGCCTGAAATAAGCAAACGTATTTTAAATAATTTCCAACTAACCAGTACATGATTTATTTGTAAGATATTTAAGTAGATTCCAATTATATTAATTCTGCTTTATACTGTTTCAGCCACTTAAAATTCTGGATTCCCCTCAACATTTTTAATTTACTATTGAGAACTTGTAGAACTATTTCAAAATAGAATTCCTATATCTGTAAAATTCTGGATAGACTGATAATGTATTAAAGATTACTGAACAAAGGTACTAAAATGACACTGATTAATTTATAATTGCTACAATACCCTACTATATTTTGTCACTATGTAAGTGTCAACACAAAAATTGCATTATATCAACACTTTTCTAATTAAGCTTTCCTCATGAAAATATGCTTGGCAATTGAGTGCAGTCCATAGTCAAGACGCCGCCCTTGGCCATCCCCCTCAATGGAGCCACTAGGCATCCCAGTCTTGCCGCAGACGGCCGAGCAAAAATACATTCATAGGCATTCATAAATATTGAAATAGATTCTTTTAAAAGTTAAAGTCATATTTCTTTTTTATTATTATTCTGCCTGCTGATTCCTAGAAAAAATTAGCAGTGTGTCAGTATTACCATTTAACACATTAAACTATACCAAAAGTAGATGGATCATTTTGTTATAGCTTATACTATTATTGGTCTAAATTTTCATGGTGCAATTCCTATTTTATTAATCATTGTGCATATTTATATTGAAAGGTATCATAGGGCAAATGTCAAGTATATGTAGATTCTTTGAAATACCAACAAATGGCAGCTAAAATACTTTACTTTTCTTTTATGCCCTGACACTACAATACTTCAAAATTTTCTTTTAAGCAGAAAACTTTTTTTTTTGCTTTTATTAAAACTAAACAATTAACATCACACTGTTAAATGTGAAAATATTTAAAAACAGGAAAATGCATCTTGTAAGATGGAAACAGTTTTTGTTATTTATGTTAATCTAAGCAATAAATATTATATTTCCTTCCGCATCTTTTTTTCCCCTCCCAAACACATATCCTGTTTACCTTGTGATGTTGGCCATGAAACAGGAAATGTAATATCATTACCACCGGGTAGTTGGAGGGAGGGCATAGATGGAACAGCCATCGGTGAATCACATACTCATCCAACGTCCACAACAAAAAGCCAATCACAAATAGTAAAGGCATGTGGTAGGTTGTCACTGGAATGCCTATAAGAACAAACAAATAAAATTTAAAAAAAAATGCAAATTAGCTAGATCAACTTTCACTTTCATAAATGCATGTTATATATTATGACCTCTGTTTACTTGAACCAAGCTTCACTCTATTTGCTAATACTAAAGCGTCTTTTAACTGACAACTTACACAGTTATGAAGAAATCTTTCTAAATCTTATATTCCAACTATTTACTGCTAGTAAATAGTCTGGACATATAAGGAATAGATTATATGTGTTGATGTTTAATATGTAATGTGTATAAATCCATTAGCCATTACGGATTTCCTTCAATATTTTCATCCATTACCCATAAGACTCTATGTATGAATCCATTAAGCTAGTGTAAGGGGAATTTGAGCTTAAATATTTCGATCCTTAACCCACAAACTCTTTTTAACAGAATCAGTAACTATTTCATCATACATGTATGCATTGATCATCAGATACCCTGAATGTTCTTTGGGAGAAGAATTATTACATCAGTTCTACAGTGAGCAAAAAAGCCACTTTTTCTGATTTTTTTCAATTTGATAAGTAGGTGTAGATGGCTTCATTTAATCCCAAATCCTTAAAGTATAGGGAAATCACTGTCTAGAACATAATGGTGGATGTATCACATTAAAAAGGGTACAAGATTCTCTTGGGTATCCTGTGTACATATATTCAAAGGACAATCTTCTCATAATAGCATTTCAACTACTCACAAATCTGCCATTTTCAAAATACAATAAGAAATATTGCATTTTTCTTGTAAATCAGAATTATTTTAAGACATTGTGGCTTATTTTGAGCTGTGAATGCTGTCAATATCAATATTTAACAGATCTGTGCCAGCATACATGTCTAAAAGAATTAGATGTATGCAAGTGAGGAACCGACAACAGAGCAAATATTGCTGCAAGACAAAATGATTCACAATTGCAATAATCACACAAAACTACTGTAAGCACATCAACAAGTTCAGTGGCTAAAAAAATACTGTGCTTAAAAAAAGCCACACAGAAGGTACATATATGTAGGTACTCGTATCTATAAGCAGTTCTATCTCAGGGACACTTATCTCCCTGATGATGATAAAGAGATGGCTGGTAGTGATAATGTTCAAGATGGGGGTGGTGATGATGATGATGAAGATAGGGGTGATGATGATGATGATGATGCAATAGTGATGATGATAAAGATGGGGGTGTGGTCGTGATGCTGCTGATAGCTGGTAGTGGTCAGTGGTGAGGATGATGTTAGTATTAGTGGTGGTGATGATTGTGGTGTAGGTAATGATGATGATGATGACAGTGATGATGATGTGGTAGAAGTGGTTTTAGTGGTGATGATGATGGGGGTGTTGATTACAACAACGATGAAAATAATAAGGTGATCGCATTAGTTCAGGCCAGGTATGTGACAAGCAGTACATTAGTAAATAACAATATTTATGTCTACATATATCCATGTACATATTTCAAAATTATACAAATTGCACTGCCTTGCAGACAAAAACACATTTTTCTCACCTTTATGAACTTTATTGTATCAAGAATTTAAAATTCATATTAAATTAATCTGATAAAAAGGTGAAACCCTAGCTACCAAAAAAATTACAGTTCACAGAAAGTACAAGAACTTTATCTTGTTTCATCTTGTTTGATACTAAGTACTGATTCTGAACTATAGAGTTTACATTTTTTCATTAAGTTATCATCAATTACCTATCTGAGAAGGTACCAACATTTCTGCATTATTAATGACAGAATTGAATTGCTTTCGTTCATATCTTTTACTCTGTAATATGTTTCTATCCCTATAAAAACCTTCTTTAATCTTCCTACACTTGATATTGCTTGTCATATGCAGAATCTATTACTACCGGGTATAAGACACATACACCTACCATTATATCTGTAATGTTCTGATATTACAATATTTGTGACTGATTGCCCATACCTGCAGGCATTCTCTTACAATAATGATTAAAATAAATATTGCATTAATTTACTACATTATAGGTCTAGGTATGGTATAAATCAGCAAATTTTATTACATTTCTATGACAAATGGAATTGGTCAATATGAAATTACACTGTGATTGGAAAGTTATTTTAGCCACAGATAGATGTGAAATATCAGTTTCATGCTTTCATAAGCACAAATACGTATTTACCTCATCCTGTTAATATCCTTTATAAATAATAGCTACTTCCATGTGATACTTACATATGGTTCATAGAATTGTAATACAAGATTGCAAAAAAAAAAAAAATGTTTTTTAGTAAGCCATAAGCTACTTCTATTTTGGATACAATTCTCAAAAAGTAATTTCTATGCTCAATAAAGACTCTACAGACTTCTAATACACAGCACAAAAGCTTCTCAAATGACTGACAACTTCAATTTAGCCAAAAATCAATATCTGCAATAATGCAATGTCCTAGCAAAGCATACCAGCATCAACATATATTGTAGCAACTCAAATACTTGCCACTTATATACACTTAAAGCAAGGCATTTACATATAGAATATCGGCCTTATAGGATTTAAGGGAACCTATTCATTAACCATTTACCATATAACTAGCTCATGCTCAAAGAAATAAGGTGACACAGACACCAAGTAAGTGCATGCAAACCACTGCCTCTGTTATGTCAGAGAGCATAGCATACTTACTTAAATTATAGTCTGTAAAGGAAAGAAAATACATTATCATAATAACTTGGAACAATTTACAGAATGGGCAATTTTCCTCTGTACAGAAGTGAGATGCAATCAGTGGGAAAGAAGATTGGGCACTGTATGATGAATTATTTACAATATGGTTACAGGCTCTTTGTCTGACATAGACAGCTGAATTACCTCCACTAGAGTGGTTGTCCTTCATGTCAGATTTGTTTGTCTGTCTGTCAGCAAGATTTTTTTTTATTTTGAATTTTTACCAAAGTTGGATCTTCAAGGCCACAATTCAGAAGTTCAATCTGATAGCAGATTCAAGATTGGGGATTGTGCAAATTAAATTTTCAAAAGATCCACACATAATTCATTATTTATTAATCTTGCTGTCTACACGAAAAACTAATCAAACTTTATTTGACTGCTGTGTTATAAAATTTGGTATAGTTCTTCTTGAAGAAAGTAATACACAAATTCATCTACTCTTTACATAAAAAAAGTTTTGTTTTTTGTTTTTTGCTGAGAAGAGTGACATTATAACCTTTACAACAGTATTTGTAAAAGACCTTAGAAATTTCATTTCCAACTGCTTATTATGGTTAAAGAAGGATTCTTAAAATGCTTCTAATGAAGAAAATTTTCCCCGATTAACTTCCTTAAAATGATAGTGCATGATGATCACCATTCCAGAAAATTATTGGTACAAGTGTGTCATGTACAAGTCAGAACCATTCTCTTTTTACCATACAAATCACTGTTTAAATTTACAGACTTTTTTCTCATACTGTAAATGTTTCACATGCAGAATAATACTGTGATAATAAATTATAAACTAAATTAGCACTTAATAAAACCAAATGATTGGCTCGACGGGTGAAAAAGGACAATGCCAACACTTCAAAAGGTCAGATTTTCACCATATGTTCAAAGATAATTAAGTGCAAATATGTATCTTTTTTCATAAACTGTGAAAACAATTTGTAACAATTAACAATGATTCTTTACAAACAACAAAAAACTCTTTTTCTTTAAATTGGTGTAAAGAAAATGGGCCTCACAATGGTGGATTTGGAAAAGGAGAAGGGTAAATGATGGAGGAGATTTGCTTGGGTATAGAAATTCTAATCACATGCATCCACTGATTCATATAAATGTAATCTTCTGTTAAAGCCCTATATTTTGATTTTTAAAGTTACAATAACCACATTTACGAGCTTCTATTACAGGAAGATTTTTTTTTTTTTAAATCCTTTTAAGTAAAACAAGTGTTCTATAAATCTTATCAAACGAAGGACATTAAAAAATCACAAGGAAATGTATTCAAGACTAAATAATTAGATTCATTTTAGAATTGTGAAAAAGTTCAAAAATACTTTTTTTGAGTTCAAAATTGTCCAGTTAATGTTCCCGACCAGTGAAACCTGAGTGGACTATAAGTTTCCTCTCTGTCAGTCCATCTGACCCTCTGTCTGTCCATCAGTCTGTCTAGCTTTTTTTGTCAGTCGAGCTGTCTCCCTGTCTGTCGGTCCATCTGTCCATCTGTCTATCAGTCTAGCTGTCCCTCCGTCTGTCCACCAGTCTGTGTCTCTGTCGATCTATCTGTCCCTCTGTCTGTCAGTCCATTTGTCCCTCTGTCTGTCCGTCAGTCTGTTGCTCTATCAGTCTTATTGTCCCACGTCTGTTAGTCAATCTGTCCCTCTGTCTGTCAGTCCATTTATCCCTCTGTCTGTCTGATAGTCTGTCTCTCTGTCAGTTCAGCTGTCTCCCTGTCTGTCAGTCCAGCTATCCCTCTGTCTGTCAGTCAGTCTGTCCCACTTCATTTTTCACTTATTTTCTACAAGGTTGCAGTACTCTGCATCAACAGATGAACCATTTGTGCAAGTTGGTATGGATACCACTTTTGATTTGCTGAGAACAAATATTATGGTAACTTTTAATGAATATGAACAAAATGTTTACATGTATAAATTTTATCAAATAATAAGTATTTAGCCTTAGGTTTTCAGAAAAAAATGAACTGCATGCACCCTCTAACAATAATCGTTAAATCAACAGTGCATTAAAATATGATAATTCAATATACAGCATTATATATTCTTAAAAATTCATAAATTATGGAAAGATTAAGCATAAAAATAAGACCTTGTACAATAAACTAAAATATATGACAGATATCTACTTAAGTGAATCTGACATATATACCATCGGTGGTTTTATTTCCAAACATCTTCAGGATCTGCTCAGTTCCTATAAAAAATGGAGTTGAAATAAAATATATCACATTTTCACTAATTTTCAGTATCAATGAGAAAACAAGATGTGTTTGT